TTCTAGCATAAGCCGTGTTTGAGGTGTTTTCAGGTTGCTGTGCCATTTTTAGATAAAGACTCTGCTGCAAATGTGGTTTTAAAGAAAGAATATTTTAGTTAAAATCGCCAAAGTTATTAGATAAAGTAAAAAATCAATGCTTAAAAGTTTGCAAACTTGCTTCATCTGCTAATGATATGTTACTGAAAAGTGATTTCAGTTGACAAGTTGACTTTACCTGGCAAACTAAACATGGTCTAAATTGCTTATTTATTGATTAAAATTAAAAATTTAGGTTTTTTCTAGCAAAAGTACTTTTTTGGAAAAAATCTTGTAAAGTAGATAATAAAACACAAAAACAAACAATTTGCATTTGTTGCACCTAAATATCGAACTGTTTTTACACCATCTTTTTAAGCAACGTACAGGGCAAACGCACTCAATTTTTCAGTTCAACAACAACCAGCTGTTTGCAATTACTATGTTGAGTCTACTTTGGTTAATGGTTGCAATCCTGGTACATTGTAAAGTTACTTGCAGCAGCGGAAGGGAACAACTTCTAGTAAGTTTTGTCTAGTACTATTAAGCTTTACTAAAGTTTTTTATTCAAGTTTTGCAGTAACGTTTTTTCCAGGAAACCCGTAGCAGTTTCCGCTACCGAGTCTACTCTGTATCTGGGAATAGGCAGCAACGTGTTCTCTGTTCCATTGAGCAGCGTCGACAATGTCAATGGTCGATTGGCACTCCACAAGGTTACCCATCGTATAGGAACACTCTCAGAGAGTGTTCACCACTTTACGGATGGTAACGAGACAAAGCCCTTTGAAGCCTTCACTCACCAAGGTAGCACTCATGTGTGGGACTTTGTAAACCATCAAGTACAGATATCACCAGTAGGAAGAGGCAATCTGACCGTTTCGATGAGCGACTACTTTGCCTGTGATCAGTGGCTTAACACAACTGATTTGCATTCAGGTAGTAGGGAGACACCATCAAATAGTACGATTGAAACAGTGTGGTACGAAGAAGTAGAGTGGATAGCCGCCATTGTTATCGCTATTGTGTCCTTTCTGGCTATCATCTGTTTAATTTGTCTCTGTCTAATAAACCAAGAGGAACCGTTTCAGCTGTGGACATCATCACTCAAGGTAGCAGTTTTTCTCTGCAAATTTTTGTATTTATTCATTCTTTATATTGCAGTCAAAGATAAACTCAAGACGGAAGCCTCGTAGTAAAAAGTTGTCCAGTTTCATCAAAACAACTCTAAACTCGTTGAGCAAGTCAAATATTACTGATTCTTTAGCAGACAGCACTAGAAACTTTAGAAAAAAGTCAATGGATAGTTTTATCGGCTCGTTCGTTCCCGTTAGAAGAAAAATTACTCCAATTAATCAACTGAAGAAAAGCCCAAAGCTCAAAAACTCACCATCACATCAAGCATCTCCAAAGTCTCAGTTTGGTTACATCACTTCCGAAGCTTACACTAGCCCATTCGAAAGTGATGCAACTGTCAGTCAGTTGGANCACCATCACATCAAGCATCTCCAAAGTCTCAGTTTGGTTACATCACTTCCGAAGCTTACACTAGCCCATTCGAAAGTGATGCAACTGTCAGTCAGTTGGACACAGCTACGTAACATCATGGACAAATAAACAAACATTTTAAAAATAGCAAAAATAAAAGTTGTTTTGAAAAGTGTAATAACTTTAATTCTATATAAAAGTATAAAAAAATTATTCTAAAACGAGTTTGAAAAAATTGTGATATAAATGAGCCTAAATGACCAGAGAGTTTCATTTGTTGTTGTTGTTTGGCGTCGCATGTGTAATTTCCACCGGTGTTGTGAGGTGTTTGTATTTCTGAAAGTATTAAAATGGTTCAGGAATGCTACCCATACAGTTGTGTTTGCTTACATTAGGCATGTTGGGGGTACTCCACCAGACGTAGGCCATGCTGATGGGCAGCATGACAATGGAGACCATTGCCAGCGACCAGCCCAGTGCGATGCCCCACGCTGGGTACTCATACGTTTTGTTGTACTTTAGAGCGCGGTGAGTGACCAGGTAGAAGGTAAAGGTGGCCACAGTGACTGCCGGCGTGAACCACTTCCAGCACCAGCGGAACCAGGGAATGATGCGAATGCCAATCATCGCCTCGATGTTGTCGTAAAAGCGGTCGGCCTCTGTTGCGGCAAGAAAAAAGTTTATAAACTGTGTAAAGCTCAATTCTCAACTTACTGTAAACCCAGCCTNGTAAAGGTGGCCACAGTGACTGCCGGCGTGAACCACTTCCAGCACCAGCGGAACCAGGGAATGATGCGAATGCCAATCATCGCCTCGATGTTGTCGTAAAAGCGGTCGGCCTCTGTGGAGGCAAGGAAAAAAGTTTATAAACTGTGTAAAGCTCAATTCTCAACTTACTGTAAACCCAGCCAATGACAAATGCCTCCCAGAAGCAGTAAAAGAGCAGGCACATTCCCGATGCTCCGTAAAAGTCAAATATCTTTATGGCAAAAAGTTAGCTGTCTGAAGATGTAAAAACTTTTTTGATATTTTACCTGAAAGACGTACATGCCTCCCTGTAAAAATAAAAAAGTGATTCAATGTAAAAGAGCACTTTGACCCTATCTTTGTTTNAATGACAAATGCCTCCCAGAAGCAGTAAAAGAGCAGGCACATTCCCGATGCTCCGTAAAAGTCAAATATCTTTATGGCAAAAAGTTAGCTGTCTGAAGATGTAAAAACTTTTTTGATATTTTACCTGAAAGACGTACATGCCTCCCTGTAAAAATAAAAAAGTGATTCAATGTAAAAGAGCACTTTGACCCTATCTTTGTTTCATAAACTCACCCTGGTGACCATGGTCAGACCAATGAGGTAACTGACGACACATGTGCCCGCAATGAACCACTCTCGTCTCCGTCCATAACGCAGATAGCCCGGAAAAAGGTCCACCATTGCCGTCACAAAGCCTTCCACGCCGACAAACTGCGAGCCAAGGCCGAGCATGAGAATCATGGTGAAGAACATTACAGCCCAGAAGGACGACCACGGCATCGTGCTGACAGCTCGCGGGTAGGCGATGAAAGCTGAAATAAAAACAAAGTAGTAAGTGTTTAAAGAAAAAGTTGCATCATTCATACCCAAACCAGGCCCTTGCTCAGCGACGTCCTCCACCTTGAGACCCTGCTCTACGGCCATGTACCCCAAAACTGAAAAAATGGCAAAGCCAGCATAGAAAGAGGTGCCAGAGTTCATGCATGTGAGGAAGAAGAGCTGACTGAGTTGAGCCAACACAAAAATAACGGATTAAAAACAATTCATGCGCTCACCAAGCTCACCACTTACTGATAAAAGTTGTTGTTAAACTCATTGTAGCTTCCCAGTGCCGTCATGCAGCCTAGCGCTATTGCGTAGCTGAAGAAGATCTGCGTCCCGGCGTCCATCCACACCTGCGCCTCGAGAATCTTCTCAAAACGAGGCGTCAGGTAGAAGGCAATGCCCTCGCTGGCGCCGGGCAATGTCACGCCGCGAATGAAGAGCGCCGTGATCACGACGTAGGGAAAGATGGCCGTCACGTAGACTGCCTTGCCCGTCGACTTGACGCCCTTGAAGATGCAGAAGAAGCAGACGATCCAGGCGATCAGAAGTGTGATGGCCAGCTCAGGTTGCAGGCCATCAGGGTGGTCGATGCCGGGACTGATCTGCAGAACGCGGTTCTCCCAGAACTCCGTCACCGAGGGCACTGTCTGGGCAGGTTTGGTCCCATTTGAAGTTGGTCCCCAGCACTTGTCGGTGTTCCACCAGTTGCCGCAGGTGGACCAGGGAAGGACGGCGCTGAATGAGCTATAGAAGTAGAGCAGCGCCCAGCTGAGCACCACGATGTAGTAGACGTTGAGGATGAAGCTGATGGCGACGGTGCCGATGCCGATGCCGCTAAAGAGGGGCGCAATCTGCCGCCAGACGGTGATGCCCCCGGAACGGTAGTACTGGCCGATGCCCACCTCGAGGAAGAGAATCGGAATGGCACCAAAAAGGAGAAAGATGAAGTAGGGCACAAAGAAGGCGCCTAAAAAGAACAGATTAAGCTGCATCTTCAACTCAAACACCCCCTTTTCAACACCCTTTTCACACACTTACCGCCTCCATTTTTGTAGCACAGGTAGGGAAAGCGCCAGACATTGCCCAGTCCAATGGCATATGCCATACAGGCGAGAATAAACTCAAACTTGTTGCCCCATTTCTCCCGTTCTCGGTACTTAAGTCCGCCTTTGGTGGTTGTTGCCCCTGCTGTCCTTTCGACAGTATTTGCCGTTTTGCCGAGAAGAACCACCGTTGCAGTTCCGTTTTCAGTGTTGGTGTCAGTCATCTTGACGGTGTAGAGGGCTGCCTTTTCGGCCACCGGCTCGCCGCTTGTTGTCATGATCTGCTGACCTGCTGATTCAACAAGTCTGAACCTTGAAAATGGTTGCCGATTTTTATCACATGTGGTTTAGTGCTGTAGATCAATCTGAAAAGTGAAAAGAAGAGACGCTGTATTTTGATGTATTTCAGGGTAGTGGAAACTTTTGATTTGGCAAAAAGGTTTGGTATCAGATTTCAAACATTTTGATTGACATTCTGTGTACAATATTTAAAATTAATATCAAAATTTTTTTAATGTTAAAATTGCAAAAAATTTTCACTTTACTAAACATTAATGCAATGAGTTTTGATCAGTTTTTCTATTACCACTTGCTATTTACAGACAAAATCAGTAAACTCTTCAGAATCTGTGTTTACAAATTAGCAAACAAAATTGGGGTATTGCATCAACTAGGTTTTTTAGCAAACTTATTAGATAATGTGTCATCTGAAACTCTCTCAATGCATATCAGACTCAATTATCAAGCAAAAGAAGCCGGCACATTTAGCCTCATTTGTCGAAATATTGTTTAAGTGAGGGCTTCCTTTGAGGTCTTTACTGATAACAATGTCGCAATTGTAAAAAATCACATCACGCGATGCCAAACATAAAAATTTGCAACAAACCAAAATGAGAGCAATGTTCAAAGTCAAATGAAAATACACAACTTAATCAGTGCAAGTATTGATAAAAAGAAAAGTTTAAAACAAAACTATAATGCACTTAAACAATTGAGTAACCAAGTAAAACAATTTTAATCTTTGTCAACAAGTATAGCAACATAAATTGTCAAGCACATTGCACCGACGCACAAGAGCAAAAGCAAAAAAGTATGTATTTATAGATGCACACAAAAATAAAACACTTTTTTGGTTTATTCTCAGACTTGTCTTCACTGGACTGGTCGTAGTCAAAGAATAGAATTGCAAGGGGATGCTTTTTTTGGTTTATATACTTGACAAAAAAAGTATATCTAAAAAAGAAAAGGAGGAGGAGATAGTATAAAGATGAAGCAAAGAAATGTAGAGACAAAATGAAAGAGAGAAAGCAAAAAGGAAGCAATACACCAAAAAAGAGAAAACTGTGTCGCCAACAATACAAATACTGCATTGGGTTCAACTCAATTTTGGCTAGTATCCAACATGACCCTACTTTAGTAAATTTTCTGGTTCTCAAAAATGCTATATTTTTAAAACTGCTAAAATAATTTTAATTTGTAGTCATGAAAAATTTAAAAAAATATTAGTAAATGTGTTTTATTTTATAAAACTAAAAACCGATACAATTAATTTTGATAAAAGTTTCACTGTTGATTTTTAAATTGTGTTTTAATCTTCATTAGCATTTTTCAGTTAAATTATTCATTTCAAGGGCAGACAAATTGACTTGTTTTTTCTTCCCCTTCTTGTACATTGATTAATTGGCAATTGAGTCTACTTTGCCCACTTTCACTTCTAAGTTTTTACATTATTAAGTAATAGTATGAGGGTTATATTAATCAAATTGACAGTCTGCATTTTTGTGTAAAAAATCTGAGTAGAAACTGTTTGCAAAATTTTCTTGCGCGATAGTACGTTTGACGGTCAGGAAACAGACGTCGATTAGCAGCAATTTCAATAACGGAAATCTGATCGGTCCCAATTGACCAGTTATTTATGAGCTTGCACTTAATTTGGGTTAATGTATATTGCGCAATAATACAATAAGAAACTAGCTTACGATAATTTTATTAGGAGTTAGTCGTGTTAGTTTTTAAAAATTAAATGTTGTTAACATCTTCAAACGCAGGAAAAAATTCTGACAAATTAAACAAAATTAAAATTTAAAACATATTTTTTATAATGTCAAAAATAAAATTAACACGTTAAAAATTATTTGCCCATACTTTCTACCAACATTCCTCCATCCGAAACAAAGATTGATCCAGTAATGTTTGCCGCCAAATCACTAGCCAAAAAACTGGCTAAATTAGCAATTTCTTCTGGGTCGCCAATTCTGCCCAATGGCGACTTGGCCTTGACAATGTGCTCCAAATCGTGAAAAAAGCGATCATTGCCAACTGACCGACCTATAATGAAAACAAATTCAGGTCAATGGTCAAATGATGTTCAAGTAGATTAATCTTAATCAGTAGCTTGTTGAGTCTGTTCTTACCAAAATCAGTCCAAATTGGGCCTAAAAGATGCAACAACAAAAAATTAAATTACGGGTTAAGGAAAACCATTTTATTGTATTACCCGGATTGATGCTGTTCACTCTGATGCCCTTAACTCCAAGTTCACTAGCCGAACAACGAGTGCACATGTCGAGTGCTGCTTTTGAGCAGCTGTACACTAAAACGTACTGTTTTAACAAAAAAGTTAAAAATTGGAAATATGTTACACATTGTTTCACTTACCGGACGGATTGCAGCAATTGAACTTATGTTAATAATATTACTAAATCCTTTGCCTTTCTCTAAATGAGGCACGCACAGTTGGGTCATTCTGATGGCACTCTTCAAGTTGAGTCCCATCACCTTGTCATAGCCTTCCATTAGGTTCTCACTTGACAATGACATGTCAGTGTCCCCAAAGCCAGCATTGTTCACTAGAACATCGATTCTTCCTGTCATTTTTAAAGCATGGTAATTAATTAAAGCATTGTTTAGGTCATTCATCAGTACTCACCAAACTTGTCAATAGCCGATTGAACCAGTTTCGGGGCAAAAGAGTCATCGAGCAGATCGCCTACTACTTCAAGTGGTGTCGAGCCGGAAGCATCTTTAATTTTCTGCGCCACCTTGTTCAGGTTTGCAGCGTTACGTCCAGTGATGACCACCTGTGCTCCATACTGCGCAAGCTGTAGTGCAATAGCGGCTCCAATGCCATTCGATGAGCTTCCAGTCACCAAAGCAACCTAGCAGTAATTTCATTAGCAATAATGAAGACAAATTAGGAATGATGCACACGTACTTTACCAGAAAAGTCGTATCTTTTAAAGTTGGACATTTTTAAAAAACAAAAACACACACGTGTTACAATTGAAATAATTTCTATCGACCCTCCACTCCCCTTTTATATTCTCTCACCTTTTATAGGTAATTAAAAAACGTTATTTTTCTTTTCTTGAATATAATCAGTTAATGTGCGCATTGGGAATGATGCAGCCAAATGTGAATATAATTAACTCTAGAAAAGATGAACACTGTTGTAAGAAAAAGTCCTGTTAAACGACTTGTATAAACAAAAAATGGCCTTGAATTCTGCAAAAACTAGTTATTAGTTTGGGTTTTTAATTAAGTGTTTTTCAGCAGATTGGCATTTATTTTTCAATATGAAAAGATGTTAGATAACTTATTAATAAGTATGTACTGATCACGTTTAAATTATTTTTTATTCACAATAAAAAATTTTGCACTGATAGTTTTAATAAAAAAATCAACATTTTAGTGATTTGTTTGATAAAAACTTTTTATCATTGTCTCGTAAAAATTATTAATAATTTTGATATTGCACTCAGTGCACTGCTCTTATCAACTATAATAAAAGGTTTTCACGAAATAACATGCACTTTTTGTGCATCACAAAAAAATGCCCAATCAAAGCAGCTAACGAGAAATGCTTTTTTACTTGTTAACTTTTTACCCCACTTTTCTCTTCTTTCCTCGTCTATTTGATAATCGTTTTCAAATACTTCACTCAATCACTATGGCAAGCACTTGCATTTAGAAGAACCAAAAATAAACTTTTTCTTGCAAACTGCCAGAAGGCAGCGGCAGTTTATCGAGCATTAATTATCAGCAACAGATTAGTGTGGCGGCAATATCGTTACAGTTGTAGTACGCTCAGAGAACACCAAAAAGGCACCACCACTCTGCAGAGACTGCCGACCACTACCCCAGACTGAGGCACTCGGCGTCGGCAGAGTGTCTTTCCCACTCTCTGCTGCATCTTTCTCAATGTCAACCACATTTTGCCTCTATCCAAAGTTGTCTCTCTTCTGCAGTCCTCTGCCCATGCCCATTATCATATCATATGACTGTGTGTAGTGGACGTGCATCAACTTTAGTGTGTCCATTTCTTTTACACTCGTAAATGATGTAACTAACTGCTGCTGCTGCTGCTACACAATTATTTGTTGATTTTATTTTTAACATTTTACAATAATAATAATACACTGTCATGGAATCTGATCTTCTGGTGCCTCGTAAGAAAGCATCTACACAAACCAAAACGAACCAACGACATTTGAAGCGATGTCATATCTGTGGAGATGTTGCACTCTGTGAGAATACTGTTTGCTGGCAATAATTTGAATTTTAAATTATTTAAATTTTTTAAATAGCTTTCAATTTTAACGGAATTTCCTGTGAAAGTTGCCGAAACTTTTTCCGTCGATACGCACACAAGCACAAGGTAGCAAATGTTTAAAATAAATAAGTGGTAATGTACATTTTTTATTATTTTAGGATCTCAAATGTGAATACTTCGGCAATTGTCATATTGACATTAAAACACGGCGAAATTGCCAGCGCTGTCGCATGCAAAAATGTTTTCAGGTATTTAGTTGAAACTGTTTAAAATTTAAAAACGCAAAAAAATACTAAATTTTTTATTTTTTCAGATTGGCATGAAACTGGTAAGATAAAATATTTTTTAATTAATTTTAATTATAAAAATATTCATTTACTTTAGGAGCTGATTAACCGGCGAGTTGTCAATCATCATCCCTCCTCATCTTCTCCTTCATCCTCATCCACTACCTCATCAGACAGCTCACTGGTTCCTCTGTCATCAATCACCATTACCACAGCTTCGCTCATTCCCAATGTGGACGACCCTGAAAAGATTTTAGACCCCTATGAAGAGGAGTTCCTGCATATGTTCCAGAGCCTGTGCATTATCTTTCGCACATTTCACCCCAAAGTGATTGGCATTGCCTCTGACGTCAGTCAGGTGTTCAACATGCAGGAGTACTTGATAAAAAACATTGTCAATTTCAGTAAATGCATCGAGAGCTTCAAAGAGCTGAACCAACACGACCAGTTGCTCATACTCAAATCCAGTTTTACGGAGATTGTCATGCTGCGAAGCTTGTTTTACTATGAGGCTAGAGAAGACTCATTTCCAATGAGGATCGTAAGTGCATTTTGAAACTTTTAATATTTTAAACATTCACTAATGATTTTGAACTACTTTTTTAGGACGAGGCTGCCGAGAATGCCTTACTAGTGCCACTTGACTTGCTTTACAAAACTAAACTGCATCACCTGATTGAACTGCACCGTAAGCTGGCTGAAATAGTGGCACAGGAAAAGGAAGACAATCTGTTGCGAGATTTGGTAAGTGGTGTGTTCACCAAATGAATGAATACTAAAAACCAAACTATTCAAAACTAGATGGCCGTTCTCATCATGTTTAAACCCAGAGCTAATGTCAACAATCACGAATATATCAATTACGAGTACTCTCGGTACCGATACCTGTTGAAGCGTTACCTTCTGGTCAAGTACCAGGACAACTACAAGGCCAACGTCTACTACCTTAGTTTGATGCAAATTATCACTGATGTAGCACTGTTGAAGCAGAACTTTATTGAAATCTTCCAAATGATTGACTCCAAACCCGTCAGCCATTGTCTGCTTGAAATTTATGAAATTACCGATAATGAAACCACTACTACGACAAAGTAGATTATCTAAAGCAAAATTAAAGTTAAGGTGTGTTTGCTTGTTTAATCTCTATTTTTTTGCAAACAGACCATTTTATTTACTTTAACATTTGTTATCTTTTTTCAGCAGTTTGTTTGAGTTTTGATTTTACTACTCAAAGCATCAAAGCGGGTACAAGTGTTCTCCGTTCAAGAGCAAGTTTCTCTCTTGTTTTTTTCCGAGTGCAATGTACGATTTGTTTTGTAAACTAGCAGTGAAAGTGCGCTTTTAGTATAATTGCTGTACTAGGTTCAACAGTGCCAAAGATCATGTTTAAATTTTTACAATGGTAATTTTGAGTGATGAAGAAAACTTCATTTAGCGCTATTAATAGCACATTATATTTTACAGGCACTCATAAAGTTTTCTACTGCAACACTGTTGCAACCTCAAAATATCTCCAAAGTATTTTACACTTTAATTGCCCGCTTATCATCAGTTTCAATGGCCACTTGTACCTCATCTATCACTGTGTGGAACCTGCACTAACATTTACGATCAACTTTATCGAATCAACTCTAAACTCGCTGGCTAATAGACACTTTCTCACTGTTTAACTGAAACAGTCTTGATAAAACTTCGCCAATTGATCTCAGCAAACGCTTTCATACACTTGTTAATTAAACANGATAGAGAAAAGTTAGTAGTGAGCGAAGCGAGCTACTGAGCCCTTGTACACTTGTTAATTAAACGCATTTCCTACATTTTGCTACATTCTGGCAATGATCTCCACGTTTGTAATAAACTAAAATAAAGTTTTTAAATAAAACACTATGCGATTTGCAACTTGATAGTTGTAGGAAGTATTTTTAAAAATAAGAAAGCTTTTTGCATTATTGAGTAATCTAATCATTTTAAAGATAAACAGTCGTTGTAGGGGTTCATATGTACATTTTCCAAAAAAGAGGAAATGTTTTGATGCAGTAACAAAAATGACTGATTTACTGACGATAATCGTTTTAGTTGAGATAATAATAAAATTATTACTTACTGTCACTTGAACAATCTGATGTTGATTTTTAAAATGCTGTGCTCAAAAATTTCATGTTTTCGACAAGTTTCTACACTGCCACCATTTTCACTCAGTTCAATCACTTCACCTATTTCGGTGAAAACATGTACAGAAATTTATCCTCATTTGCTAAAAACATCACCCGTTTCTTATCTTTATAGAAAAACTTCTCCCACCGGGTTTGATCTTTGCACAACTTACGCCGACTCTTCTTTGGCTTCTGATGACCTGTCTAAGTTTGACCGTACGGTTGTGGCTGTCCATGGCGTCTATGGATATTACAGTCACTTTGAGCGCTTGTTCAAGCACTTTTATGGATCTAAAGTTCGGGTGGTTGCACTGAACATGCCTGACTTTCAGCACACCTTAAAGCACGGCTATTGGCATTCAACAGCTGAAAATGGCACTTTTTTGACAGATTTTTTACTTAAACTAAATATTCACAAAATTGACTGTTTAGTGACGCATTCTTCCGGAATTCTTACCACAAGTGATCTCTGGGGAAAGGTTAGTATTTTAAATGATTTAAAAACTTTGAGATAAACAACTTGTTTTGCTGAAGGCCAATGGACCTATCTCAATTTCATCCATTGCCCTATTTTCCCCTCAAACACGGTGGATCGATTCAAATAAAAAGAATTCCAAAATGCGCCATGCTTTTCTCATTCGCCATCCTCTGTGGTACAAACTACTGGAGCTGCTGCGTGTTCACCAAAGCCGCTACTGGCCCATGGCCTACGGAAGTATGAATGATTTTCTCACCACTGCTGTTCTCTTTCTTGATCCAACTGAAACTGACAAGCTGTACCCTAAAGTAGACTATTTAGTTAATCAAACTCAAACTCCAGTCAGCATTCTCAAGGGCGCAAAAGACACGCTCATTTACCCAAAGTCTAATGCTGAAGTACATAGAAGGCTTGGAATTTCAATGGCCGATGTTGTTCACATTAATCCAGATGAAGATCAGTTTGAGAGTACAATGAAAAAGACGGGAAAACGAATGAACTCCTACTCTATGGAAACCAGTGGCCATTTTGCTCACCAGAAAAATGCTAAATATGCAAACAGAGTTGTAGAGAATTTACTTTACTGAATTGTAACTCTAGTTGTACTGTAAAACTTTAAATAAAAATAAAGTTGAGATATTACTTTTACTTTCCGCCATATGAACAGACGATTTTTTAGGCAACACACGTTGTACAAAAGTGCAGACAAAGTTTGGTCGTTGTGAGCACCTTTCTCCGCCCTCAGCATCAGTGATCAGCACATGAAAATACACTTCACCAGTAGAGAAAACGTGTTTTTGTCTGACAGTAAACACTGTTTTAGCAGCTGGTGAAAACCAACAAACAGTTAAATAACAACCTGGTTTCAATCTAAAATGGTGCTTGCAACAAAGTCCTCATTATGGGGACCACTTTTCCGAACCTTTTCTACAAAATCACCATTTTCACTCACCTCAATAGCAAAACCAGTCACCTTTCGCACATGTTCTGACATATACCCGCAACTGCTTGCAACATCGCCTCACTCCAACCTCTACAAGAAAACTTCACTTACTGGTTTTGACCTCACTGTCAATTACGCCGACAGTGCTCTGCTCTCTGACCCGAGTGACTTTGATCGTACAGTTGTGGCTGTCCATGGCGTTTACGGGTACTTTACTCATTTTGAGGCGCTTTTCAAGCATTTTCACGGCTCTCGAGTTCGCGTCATTGCGCCAAATATGCCTGATTTTTCACACACGGTCAAGCACGGCTTCTGGCACTCGCCAACTGAACGGGGAGTATTTTTGAAAGACTTTTTATTGAAATTGGGCGTCACCAAAGTTGATTGTCTGGTGTCGCACTCCTCTGGTATGTCTCCTGCAGCTGAGATTTGGGGTAGAGTATGTTTTTTTAAAAATTGCTTGTAAACATAATTTGATTCTCTCTGTTTGTTTACTTACAGCCTGGTCCAATACAAGTCAACTCAGTTGCCCTCTTTTCACCACAGTCTGGCTGGATTGAGTACGACCACCGTTTAGATCACTGTGCAAAGTTTCTCCTTATTCGCCATCCTCTGTGGTACAAGTTTCTCGAGCAAACCGGTGTTCACAAGTTACCATACTGGCCGGTTGTTTTTGGAAATATAAACGAGTTCCTAAGTACCGCCGTCATCTTTTTCCATATTGACGGCTTGAATGAGCTGTACCATCGAGTTGAGTACTTTGTCAAGAACACCTCAACTCCACTATCAATTCTCATGGGCGCTAAAGACTTTCTCATCTTTCCAAAGTCTAACGCCGAAGTTCACCGAACGCTAGGCATTGACATGAAGAACGTTGTTAGCATTGACGCTAAAGTTGATAAACTAGATGACAAACTAAAGAAAACTGGATTACGAATGAATTCATACTCAATTAAATCAGGTGGGCACTTTGTTCACCAGCGACAGGCGCAATATGCAAACAGAATAATTGAAAACTTGCTCAATTTATAAACAAAATTTTTGAAATTGTTTGATGATTATGTAAATGATAAATCTGATTAAAACACCACCATTTAATAACTTAAAAACTGATAATTACATAGTGTACTGTCAATAAACATTCCCAAGTGGTGATCAGAGCATCTGCTCGTAGGTCCACTTGAGCATAAACATCCGATCGCCTGACTTGTCACACAGGTCAATGTTAGGCTCAATACTGAGAACGCCAAAGTTATTCTGAAACTTCACCTGTGGCTCCTTCAGCTCCGCACTGTCTTTTCTCCTCACCAGACTGTCCGCTTTGCTGCCCTGGAAGACGGTGACCAGAGAGTGCAGCGGCTTTTCAATAATTCCGTACACCTTGATGTTCTGCAGCAGCGTGTTGAGGACTGGCCTCAGCTGGGCACAGCTGCCGGCGCTGCCTTCGTGCACCACAACGGTGATGTTCGTGTAGGTAAAGGTGAAGGTCACATTGAGGTAGCTCTTCACCGTCAACGATTCACCGTCGTCCAGGTAGAGGTACCCGGTGGCGTTCAGGTGCTCGTTCAGAGCGGCGATTACCTTTAGTTGAAAGAGAATAGATGTGTTAGTTTGCACGTCGGCGTTTGTTTACTAGTGAAACGGAAAAACACTCACCTGAAAGCCGTGTTTCTTTCTCGTATCATCAATAGTGAGCTCCGTTTTGAAGTGATTCGCCACTACGTGGCCGCCTCGAAGGTGCAGATTGATATTCTGCTCAACAGCGGAAATCTCCAGGTGGGCGCCTTCCTTCTTCGATGTCAAGTGGCCGGAGTAGTACTCGTACCTGAAATGAATGGAAATGTTTAGCAAAACGAATTGAAAGTGAATTTTCCTACTGACCATCTGCCTTCGGGGAAGTACGCCTTCACCACTGTCATGCTCTCCTCGACCACCGGTGACGCTAACAGCGCCGGCCCAATCATAAACTGCTCATTCACTTTGTACACCTCAATGTCGTCGGGAAACTCAACAAACAGCGGTGCAATCACCAGTGAGCCGTCAGCGTGCGCCCGTTGAAAAAGGGTGTAAAAGTATGGCAGCAGTTTGTACCTTGCCTGAATGTTGCTGCGAATCATCTCTCGAACTGACCTAATCTTCGTTCGGGGCTCCGTTTCAAAGTCAGTGTAGCTAATCATGAAGGGCTGCACTGATGCCAGCTGGAACCACCGGCGAAGGACCTCATCTTTGGGCGTCTCTCCGCGGAAGCCGCCAACTGGAAAACCTGACATGGCGACGCCAAAGATGGAAAAGTCAAGCGTCTGCTTGAGAGACAGCTTCAGCGACGTCCAATTGGAGTAGATGGGCGCTCCGAGGTGGCCGGCAAAGCGGCCAATGCCCATGAAGGTCGACAGTGACAGTACAAAAGGCCGCTTGTTAGCGTTTACGCTCTGCTGCGACCACAGCTTGGCCACCAGCTGCGCCTGTTTGTAGCCGTACATGTTGTGCAGGGCCATGTACGGGGCCAGTTCATAGGCGGCCGCCTCCTTCTTCGACAGCGAATCAAAGAAGGCGCCCTTGGAAAAGGTCACATCCAGACAGGGTCCCATCTCATTGAGCTGACCGAAGGTCCACTTGTTCCACTGCAGCCGGTCGGCCATGCTGTCGCAGACCAGCGAGCCGTTGAAGTTGTTCAGATTGAGCGGAGTGTTGTAGTCCAGCAGGTAACCATCGGCGAACTTGTGAAACTCTGTCGCGTCCCCGTACTCCTGCTCCGTCTTGGAGTGCCAAAAGTCCGGGTAGTAAACGTTGTTCTGCGTGCGCTTGTTCTCATCATTACACTGATAGGTCGCACCGGAGTAGGAGATCAGGTCGGGGGAGGAGGTGAGCGAGTGCTGCCACTGTGCCACCTTGGTGGCCTGAAATCGATGAGGCGCCTCCATGGAGAGGTATCGGCGCTGTCGACCGTGAATGATCTCCTTGAAGGTTTCAAAGTTGGCCTTTTCATTGGCATCAGAGCGGCGAATGGCGGTGCCACAGTCCGACTCGACGGGAATGTCCAGCGCGGTCAGCTGCGACTCCAGCGACTCGGACACCGAGGGAATGGAGCAGAGACTGGAGCAGGCGTGAAAACCCAGTGCCCAGTATGGGGGAAAGAATGGCTTGTGAATGAATGACTGCAGCTGACGGAGGACGTCAGCAGGACGGGGTCCAAGGAAAAAGTGCTACCAAGAGATGATAAGAGAGAGATTAGCAAAACAAAACAACAACATAACAACAAACAACATTCACTCACAAACTCCAGATGTCCGCCAAATGTTTTGAACGTCAAGCTGGGCCTTGCATTGGAGGTGACCGTTATTGGGAAGCTGTTCAGCAGTAGCACACCGTGGGCGTCGCCTCTCTCCGGGTCATCAATTCCCATGTAGAAGGGATGACTGCCCCACATGGTGGTGACGTTCTCCGTTTGATTCTCCTTCAGGTGAGGATTCGGGTACTGACTGAAAAGGTTCCACGTTCGCGGAATGGAGAAGTTGTGCCGGAAGGTAAGCGAGTTTGACTGGCCCAGGCCGTAGACGATGTCATTGACTAGCATGGTGCTCACCTCAATGTAGCCCTTACTGAAGATGAAGGGCGTGTGGAGGCCACTGTTGAAGAGACTTTTGCGAGTTGAGTTTCGAGTAACCGACAGCTGGAAGATATCATTACGAAAGCCGTCTTTAGCATGCAAAGTGACGGTTGCATTGGAGTAATTTCCATTAGGCGTTGGATAGTTGTAGTCGAAGTGACGATTCCACAGTTTGATATCTGAAAAAAAGAAAAAAATTTGAAAGGTAATATTTAACTTAAACTTCTCTACAGTCATTTACCTTCATCAACAGGCTTGATCAGCACCCTTAGATGGTTTTCATTGTAGTGCTCGACTGTCACCGAAAGATACTCGTTCACAATGGGCCCTTCAGAAAGATTAGCGTTTTTAGTATCTAGAAACGGCGGTGGAACAGCCAGCTTCAAGATGTGAGTATTTGCGTCTGGACTTTCGGGAACAGTAGAGTTCTCCTCATGTATCAGCTTCTTTCGTTCATTTGGATCATTAGGAAGGAACTGATACCGAGGCATCTTTCCAAACAGCCTAGACCCGTACGAGTCTGCCTTCAAGTTTGTGTCATACTCCACTTCATAGTAGCAGGCTATCTCAGTGCCCGTTTTGAATGACTCTCCATCCCACTTGCAGGGACTTTTCAGACAGGTGCTGTTAGACACCTTCTCCGGCTCCACTGACCTCAAAGGCATGCACTCATAGCGGAGGTCAGACTCAATGCCCAGATCAGGTTTTGGGGCCCAGATGGCCGTCCAGACGAGAGGCAGGCCAATGCCGATGAAGCCACAAAGGCCGAGAAGAAGTAGAAGCCGAGTCACATAGCTGGAGACAATTTTCCGCACTACTGTCTTTGGTTCGTTTTGAGGTGTTAACACAGCAGGAATTTTGGTCATTTCAAAGTCTTGCGACGGAGCATGACGAAGCTGAACATTGTCAGCCATTCTGGAACAGCAGAAGACGGCAGCTCTTGAAAAGATGGCGAGGCGCTAGGCTGATTGAAAAAACAGTGTTTGAGCAAACAGGGGATCCAGTGAATGAGCGCACTGGCTGATGATGATTAACTTTTAGGTATTTAGATGCTGATTGAGTGGCGGTCATAGTTGTTGGTTGAGTTGTTGGTGCTGTAACTATGGAGATGCCTTAGTAGCATTGCGCCGGTAAGATTTTGCCCATTGATTTCTCATCCGTTTGTGATTACTGTTAGAAGGAGATGTGCAAGAGCCACTTGACGACAGAAAAATGAGGACTTGAGTGACAGCTGATCGGAGAATTTAAATAATAGACGAGATCGATTAGGATACGTTTTAGCAATCAATATTACTTGTAAATTCATCTGATGTCTTTTATAAACAAAAAAACGTTTATTTTTACATTGATCTCTAAACAACAAATAAGTTAGCTTTTTCATTTACAAAAGTGCTGCAAAATGCATATTTCGTCATTCTTATTTATTAATTAAAAGCAAAACTTGAAAAAATATTAACAAATCTCTTTTATTTGCATATCAAGTAGTACAACCTTAAGTTTATAAGAAAAATAAAAAGTAAATTGATAAAATTTTGTATTCACAGTCAAAAATTCACAAAAAAGTTTATCAGAAAAAAAACCAAAAAACGTACCGCCACTTAATTATTGCTTTCTTCTACTTTGAGAATTTTCCGCTTGATAACTTTAGCAAAACTGGGCTTGTCGAGCGACACTTCACACCGATAGAGGCCTTGAGTGTACAGTGTGACATTGGTGATAACGACGGTGCCGTTTTGGGATCGATTCAGCTGCAAAAAAATGAGTGGGAAAAGTTAGTCGAATTGTGTAGGTAGCTTTATTAGCGCAGCACTTACGTCGACATTGATGCCGCTGGTTTTGTACCAGTACTTGTTCGGTGTCTCCGTCGGCCGGAAACGATAAAACTCGTGGCCATCTTTGAACCACCTCAGCTGGTTTAGCTTCTGCCAGCTGTCGGCAATTTCGTAATCACATCGCAGTGTCACTTCAGATCCAATAGGCACAGGTGTGGGGAAGTCAACGGCCACGTCGACATCTCGGCTTTGAGCGGACACTGTGCCCAACAGAGCCAGAGCGACCACAAGAGCCAAGGAGATGGAGGAGGACATGAGGAAAGAGGAGAAGGGTGGCATTGTTGTTTCGTTCCGGTGATATATCTGATGTAGGGAGTAGACAATGCCAAAGACTTGGCTACGACTTGCTGGTGGTGGCCGCTGTGGTAGTGGACAGTGCAGTGGTGCGACTTGAGCCCGGTCGATGAGAGAAAGAGAAAGAGAGCGAAAAGATAGAAGAGAGCTAAAATGAAAATCACGGAAATCAGCAGTCGATAAAAATATGTATTCAGAGAAAGAGGGAGAGAGAGAGAGAGAGAGAGAATGGCCGTTGCCGCCGCAATCTAGTGGAGCTCTAGGCTCAGTATACTCTGATGCTACGATCACTTTTTTTGTTTGCGAGCCAAGCAATCCACTAGTGACTAGTCAGATTTGCCCTCAAGTCTCGCTTATCGGCGGTTTAGAGGGGGATACTACTCTCGAAGAGCAGTTAAGAGCGCATTGAGCTAATAGCTCATTGCGGGCTGAAGAGCTTGGCCGTCGCCGCCTGATGCCGCCTGATGCCGGCGAACGATATGTTCAGGGCTGCTAATGCGCACATCACTCAGTAAGCGGGATATACTAAAGTGTATATTTAGCAATAGCAATAAGAAAGCATCTGAAGTGTCTGTTGAAAGTTGAAAATTGAGATTAATCAAAGATTAACGGGAGATAGTTGCGATGATTGGTAGGGAGAAGAAGGAGAGAGAGAACAAAAATAAGAGGCATTGAACAGGTTGAAACGAAGAAGCTATTCAGCATTACAGTGTCGTCTTTATTTGCCAGCAAAAGCTGGCGCCACATTTTGAATAAACTCAAAGTATCTTTTGTTATAAAAAACTTCCCTATCAAAAATTTTAACTTCAATGAAAATAAAAGTCACACAAAATCATTTCAATGAATCTTTTTCTGTAATGCCAAACACTAACAAATGTCATTATGAAACATCATCTCTTCATCAGCTCATCAAATCTAAATCAACTCCACCTCTAAACAGCCCAAAACTGTTTTTCTTTTCTGCGTACCTTGACCCTCTGCAAAATGTTGGTGGCAATCAGTTTGTCACATCAGTCATCTTCTTTGGCGCAATCAGCACATTGAATCTCTTCATTTATTTATAATTTACTCCTCTCTTCTTTCTTCTCCATATGTGTGATCGATGAGTGTTTTAGCCAAGCGACAGAATCCATTTAGGAGAATGAGCTTGTCAATGAAGCGCACCAACGGACTGTGTTGACACGGAAACATTGACAAGCAGTGGAGCGTAAGACAAACAAGTGATACGTACAAGAGATTTCCATTTTCATAGATGGATATATTATTGTCAATTATTAGTTGGCTGTATTTATTAACTTCCCGATTTCTTAGTACTATACTGAATTTGATCAATTAAAAGTGCATTATTAAAATAATAAAACTTTTAGTGTTAGAAAACTAAAGTCAATTGTAAAAAAATTCAATATTTTTATTTTTATAATTCATTTTAATGAATTCAGAAAAATGTTATTGTGCAATCTTACTCGACAATCTTTGCCGCCTCAAACTCGACCAGTGTCAGAGCGATGGATCGTCGAACTCGTCGCAGCAGTTGACCAAAATAGTCGGCTGGAAACTGCGCCTGGTCAATGAACAGTCCCTGGACAGTTCGGCCATCACCAGCCAGCAGCTGCACTACTCCACGAGTACCACTTGATGTACTGACCTTGACAGGTGTGGACAGCGTTTGCACGAGTCCATTGAAACCCTTGGCACCTAAATACTCTTCAATTGCCTTCAATGTGGCAAAATGAGCCGACCCGGACTTGCCACTGACAACAAGCGTGTTTCCCAAGAGGAGGCTGTTCAGAGAAAAGGCAAGTGTAGCCACCTCATCACCTGATGACTGATCATCCAGTTGCAGAAAGATCGTCCCGATTGGTCCGTACTGTGCAATGTACAGCTTATTGGCGGTGCAGCTCTCAATAATCTCACTGCTTGATCTGCTCAAGGCAAACTTGACAGCCGCCGACGACTTTACTTGAACACCGTCCAGAGCAGAGGTGAGAATTTTCACTCGAGCAGAAAACGAAAGAGAGGTCCAGCTAAAAGTAAAACAGGCTCAATATAAAGTCAA